TTCAGGCAAGAGCAGTTTCTTGCCAGCGTTGTCACATTGAAGGCAAATTCCATGAGTTTCTTCAATGCCCATCAACCTCTCTGAAGAAAATGGTACTGCCAGAAGCAGACATGTCTCACTGTTGAGAAAAGTCTTAAGTTTTTTTTTTTTTTTTGGATTTTTCGAGACAGGGTTTCTCTGTAGCTTTTGGTTCCTGTCCTGGAACCAGCTCTTGTAGACCAGGCTGGCCTCGAACTCACAGAGATCCACCTGCCTCTGCCTCCCGAGTGCTGGGATTAAAGGCGTGCGCCATCACCACCCAGCTAAGTCTTAAGTTCTTAAAACGTTTTGAATGCCGTATTCTGTAGGTCTTTGAAGTACTGAAGATTATCTAACTGAAATATATCTCTGTATATCTAGAAAATCTAACTAACATGACTAAAAGTTTGATTATTATAGATGACTATTAATCTGTATTTCTTATTTATACATTACAATTTAAAAAGAGCTGTACAAACACAATACCTTAAACAAGAACAGATATACATATACATAGTATGATAAATGACCTTAAATTTGTACTAATGCAAAGTATTCATCTTTATATCATATCTCCCCCGCCTTGTTAGAAAGAGATTAACTGTGACCATTTAACCACTTATAATCAACCCCCTTTAAATGACAACACATATTTATAAGCAATCATTTTAAGAATTTGGGCATTGTTTTCTCCAAACTGCTTCCTGCTGTTTGTTGGGTGAAGTATTTTTAGGGTTCATGAAGACTTTTGGGGGCTCTTGTTCCATCAAACCACGATAGCCCAGAAGGAATCCACAGGTTCTCATCTTCTGTGGAAACAAAAGAGAACCTCTTTTCTAAATCAAAGAATCCTTAAACCCAAATTTTGAAGTAAAGATACTTGTAAAATATATATGGTGGTTTAGCTTAGCAGCCCGTACAATGAAATGTCTCTCTGTACTTAGCTCCTTCACAGTCAGAAAATTCAAAGAAAGCACAATAATATACATAACCCAGACTCTTTGTGTATTTTCCATCTTTACATGCCTTTTTTTACTCTATTACTTTTAATTGTTAATTTATTAATCTCTGGCTGTCTATACTCATACTACTTTTACTGTTTTATAACTGTCTATACTCTTTTTCCTCCCTCTCAAGTCTATGTACATTTTTAAACACACTGTGTCTCATTTAGAGGTCTGTCCAATTGTGTATCTGAAATCCTTTTCTGACAAAAAGCACCTTTTTTTTTAAAATGCTAAGCAGGCATGGCTAAGACCAGCTCCATGGTTCTGTCTGTTGGCTCCACCCCATCCATCATGGTGGAGGTATGTTCACTGCCTACTCTGCTAACCATGCTCACTGCCCCAACTCCAGGAAGACAGCAGGTATTTAAGCAATTTGTAACACACTGCTCACAAACCCCATTTAAGTTCTCCATAGCAGGAACTCTCAAAAGAGCCGGAGCCATGTGCTCCATGTGCTGTCAGCAAAAACTATGAAGTCTTTGCTGCTAATGTATCAGGAAGCCTTTTCTTAAAGGAGCCACACCTCTGCTTGTAGCCAGCCTATCTAAAAAAATGCAGCTACCACGAAGCTCCAATTGACTCCTGTTTTTTTGGGGGGGGGGTCTAAAAGCCTTTCTTAAACTTTCTTAGGTTTTATGTGGAACTTTTTGCCCCACATTGGTACCATTTGTAAGTGGAGACTACTTGTTTATTCCAGCTGCCCAGACCCAAATAATCACACAGAAACTATATTAATTACAGTCCTGTTTAGCCTATTAGCTCAGGCTTCTTCTTAACTAACTCTTACATCTTAAATTAACCCATTTCTATTAATCAATATATCACCACGAGGCTTTGGCCTACCAGTAAGTTTCCAGTGTCTGTCTCCTTCAGCAGCTACAATGGCATCTCCTTGACTCCACCTAGTTTCTCTATATATCTCTGTTCGGATTTCATTTCTAGCTTTATTCTGCTCTGCCATAGGCCGAAGCAGCTTCTTTTTTAACTAATGTTGAAGGAGCTGCGGGCTGTGTTCCTGCTGCCCGGCTCCTGGCCACCTGGCTAGCTTATGCCCTGAAATAACAACACACAAATTGTATTCATTTAAACACTGCTTGGCCCATTAGTTCTAGCCTCAACAGATTGATATATGACACTCCCACATCAAACTAATGGTAATAAAACATATTCCCAACATACAGAGGGGAATCCCACATCAGAAAGATGTGTATTAATTCCTGTCTTTTTTGTACTTTCCTAATGCTTATTTGCTTATTCACTCTTCTAGTATATAATCTTTCCTGAGGCCTCATGGTTGTAATCTTTTTCTTCAGTGTATGGGATTCCTTAAGACTTCTGTAATGCTGTTTTAGCAGTTGTAAATTACTTTGTGTTTATCATGGAAAGTTTTTCTTTATCCTGTAAGTTTAACTTGTGCTAGATATAATACATATTAGTGATTATTGTCTTTTAGAACTTGAAATGTGTCATTCCATGTCATTGTGACTTTTGCAATTTCTGTCGTAAAATCTATTACTCTAATGGGTTTGTCTTTATATGTGCTTTGGTACTTTACTCTTAGAGCTTTCAGTATTCTTTCTTTGTTCTGTATACTTAATATTTTAACTATAATATAATATAGAAAGTTTTCTTTTCTGGTCTTGTCTGTTTGGCATTCTAAATGCCTCCTGTATCTACATGATCATCTCTTTCTCTAAACTTGTCACATTTTTTGGCTTGATGTATTTAATACATTTTTGGTTCTTTTTTGAAACAGGGTATCTCTATGTAGCCCTGACTGTCCTGTAACTCATTTTATAGATTAGGCTGACATCAGGCTCAGAGGTCTGCTTGCCTTTGCCTCCTGAGTGGTGGGATTAAGAGTGTGTACATTTTTGTCGATGAGATTGAAGCCAAACACTACAGAAGTGCTCAGTGAGGAATAGGAAATGTCAAAAGTGCACAAGACACATATAAATAAAAGGCCTAGGAACCTACCTGAACAATTTAAAATGTAAGCAACAAAATAGTGATAGTAGTCCGTTATAAACCAGCAAAAGTCTAAATATCCATAAAGATATACTAATATTAATAACTGAATAAAGGGCTGGAAAGATGACAAAGTGCTTGCTATACAAGTCTGATAACTTGTGTTCAATCCCTGTAACACATCTAAAGGTAGAAGAAGAAAACCAATTCCAGAGAGCTGTTCTCTGACTGCCACACATGTGCTGTAAAATGAATGCACACACATGTGCACACACACCAATAAATAAACAAATGAAAAAAGCAAGGAATAATGAACTGTTTTCTTTGGAGAAGGATTACAATTGATGACTGTAAAAGTAATAAGGAAAATAAATCAAAGTTATCATCAAAACAGCACAGCATCATTTCTAGAAGCATTTGGGGGATGCTGAAGAAGTCAGTGGTCATTTAAGGAGAAGCAGGCTATTTGCATGATCTTTAACTTGTTTTTTTCTGAGACAGGGTCTCATTTTAGGATTGCAACCATTAACAATCCCACCTGGTGATAGTTGTATGGTCTTGAACTGTTTCTCAAAGTATTTATTAATTAAAAAAGGAAAAATAAAATGGAAAGAGCCAGCACTAACCTAACTATATGCTTTACATGACTTTTACTAGTTTTTACTTAGTGTCAAGGTCACAAGGGACAGATTTAAGAAACCACTATTGATTGGAAGTCATTAAGGAGGCATGGCAGGAATGACAGAATATTGGAAAGTATAAAAGGCAGTTACTAGTAGTCAGACATGGTTGTATGTGCTTGTAATCCCAACTCCTGAGAGATATAGGCATGTGAAGTCCATAGTTAGCTCAATTAGTTGATTGAGTTCTTAACTTTAACAATTGTACTGTGGTTATGTCCAAATAGTAACATTAGGCAAGACTAAATGAAAGGTATTAGGGGACTCTGTGCTATTTTTTGTAATTTCTGTCTAATTCTGAAGTTATTTCAAAATAAAATATTTTAAAATTAATTTTAAATATTTTTAAATTACCAATGGGATGTGTACAGTTATGTCTAGGAGTAGATTTTGGAGTGAAATTCTTTGGAATCATCTCTTGGTTTTGTCACTCACCAACTGTAGGATTTTGGGTGAGTTACTTATCGTCTTTTTGTAATTCAGTTTCATCATCTGTAAAATATAAGGATTAAGGAAGATTATGCATTTATTGCATATTCTTTTAGTACCAAGAGAGTAAGATTAGATTGTGTGTTTGACATAAAATACCAGCTACTGTTTAGCTTCCATGTAAATACCAGCTACTGTTTAGCTTCCATGTGCTAGATTTTATGGGACTCTCCTTTGGGGAAAAATTGAGAAGTGTTTCTAGATTATTTGAGTTCTGTTTCTCAGACTTTCTGATTAAGTGTTGAAGAGACCCCCCCCCCCCCAACTGCTGTGGGACAATGTTCTGTACCCTGTCACTTTTTATATTTTAAATAAACGCTGATTGAACAGTAGCCAAGCAGGAAGTATCGGCAGGGCGACCAGGCAGGAAGTAGAGGCAGGGCAATGAGAATTATGGGAAGAGGGAAGTTTCAATCTGCAGTTGTCACCAAGACACAGAGGAAGCCAGACACAGTAAACAAGATATGACTGCCTCACCGAAAAAGGTATTAAGCCACGTGGCTAACACAGACAAGAATAATGGGCTAATATAAGATATAATAGTTAATAAGAAGCCTGAGCTACTAGGCCAACCAGTTTATAATTAATGTAGACCTCTGTGTATTTATTTGGGCCTAAACGAATGTTGGATCTGGTGGGACAGAAACCCTAGTCAACACCCAACTTCTCAGAGACCCCAATTTAAGTCACCGTGAATTCCTTAATAGCCAATGTTGAGGTGTGTGTGTGTGTGTGTGTAAATTTGCTCCTATTTATGGTTTTTTATTTAAGGATTATATATCTAGTAAATGTTTAGTGGTTATGATTTTCAAGTTATATCTTGATTATTTTATACCAGGACTTTGGGATATGGGAACGTGGAGACAAGACCAACCAAGGCATCTCAGAATTGAATGCGAGTTCTGTTGGAATGGCCAAGGTACATTATATTTCTTATTTTTACCAAATTTAGTCAGTGGAGTCTGGTTTACCTTTGTCACAGATAAAACTTTAGTGTACATGCAGACCTATCACACTGTTCTTTAAACCGCAGACAAAATTCAAATTCCTCCATGAAACTATGAATAAATAGTATCAAAAGCTTTTTGTGAGTTCCAGATTTGATACCATATGGCTTTTGTGGCACATCTCTGTTTATATATCCTACAAGGACAACAAATTTAAAACGATATTCACTATTTTTGCCATTGAATAAACTAAGAGAATCTCTTTGTCCCTGCATAGTCCAGTCCACCAAGCTTGGTATCAGATAGCAAACTCTGAATCCTCCATCCCCTTTTACTCTTCTCTGTCTCCCATATCACTGTCACCTTTCCACTTGGCTATGTCTTTTCATTCTACTAGCTCTTATTTTCTCTAGAAACAGGAAGAATTTATAAAATAGGATAACAGGAGTAAGTTCAGACATTATTATGATGAATGTGCATTGCTCAATCACTCCTACTAAATGTTTAGGAAAGATGTGGATTGATTTTTAAAAAGAAGTAAATACAATATATGCTGTGTTATTTCATAATGATACTGAAAGTTTAAAACTAAGTTAGGCAAAATAAAGTCTAAAAACCAAAAGAAATGAAATATAATTCAAAGCAAAAACTATTACATGGAATAAAGAGAACAAATGGGTCATAAGAGACTTTTGACACAAATATAATGAATAAAATGTGGTCTGGAATATATTTCAATTTAAAAAGAACAAATATATTAGAAATACAAGACAAACAGAAACAATTATATAAATAATTTAACAGCAAACAATTGTGAGACAGCAAACCCAAAATAAGGTCCTAGTAAGTTCTAGGCAAGTGTTCTGCTGAGTTCCATCTGTTGCTCCTTCCTTTTTATTTTGAAATCATTTTAAAGTAAAGTTTCAAGAATATCATGGAAGAAAGTCTATGTATCATTCATGCAAGGTTTACTAATATTTGTTTATCTTTCCCTCTTCCTGGTTATACACATATACATATGTACACTTAAATGCCCACACAGGTACATACACTTTTCTGAGCTAATTGAAAATGCACAAACTGCAGGCACAGTGAACTACTGCTACTCAACACTTCATTGTGAACTTTCTCATACTCTTGTAACCATGGTTTGACCAAAATCAAGAACTAAGTGATTATACATAACACAGAACACATTCAGGTTTTAAAATTATCCCAGTGTCATTTATAATTTAAAAATCCTTGCAACACAGTATCCAGACCAGGCTAACAAGTTACATTTTGTTGTAACAGTTTTTAGCTCCACCAGTCTAGCACAATACTTAATAGTCTTGACTTTGCTGACCCTGCATTTTTGAAAAATACAGACTAGTTTTTGTTTGATTGATTGGCTTAGTTTGGTCTTAGGGTTGGAGTCTTCTGCCTATACACTCTACTATTGATGTGTACTACCACCTCTAATACTTCACTTTTTGTTTGTTTGCGGTAATATCTCATAGACCAGGATGGCCATAAAGTCATTATACTGCTAAAGGTAATCTCGAACTGATCCTTCTGCCTTTGCCTTCCAAGAATTACATGTGTGCAACCCCACTCCATGCTTCCCACACAGCTCCATGGCCCTTGACTCTTTGCTACCCAGCTCTAAACTGGTTATTCTATGTATTCCAAACCAATACTTTTATTTTGTGTGGTACTTCTTCATGATTCAGGTTATGTGTTTTTAGGAAGACCATCACAAAGGCACTGCTATCCATCATCTGTCATCAGAAAATGCATGTTAGCCGGGCGGTGGTGGCGCACGCCTTTAATCCCAGCACTCAGGAGGAAGAGGCAGGCGGATCTCTGTGAGTTCAAGGCCAGCCTGGTCTACAGAGCGAGTTCCAGGACAGGCTCCAAAGCCACAGAGAAACCCTGTCTCGAAAAACCAAAAAAAAAAAAAAAAAAAAAAAAAAATGCACGATATAAATTTGTCCCATTACCATCGATTCTGTCTTTGATCACTAAGGTGTTGCCCAGTAGCTTAATCTACTGTAGTTTTGCTATTCTTTCCCATTCTGTTAATGAGTTTTTGGTGCTTGCTCAACTTCTACTTATCCTTAGGTCTCTCAGTTTAGGTGTTATTTTTCCAGGGAAATCACCCAGAAATACTTCGTGCTCCCAAGACAAGGTCAGGCTGGCCTCATAATTGAGGAAATAGAGATAACCAATAAATACTTGAGATAATATCTAACCTTATTGGAAGTTTAAAGCAAGTGAATGCAGAAACATACCTTTAAACTCAAAGTAGAAAATTAAGATATTTTGTATTAAGAAGAGTACTGTTATGTACTGCTAGTATAATTTATATTGGTAAATTATATATACATATATATGTATATATATTTAACATTGCATCTCAAAATTTTCCGTACCCTTTGGCATAGTGCTTCTACTTCAAGAAATTAATGCTTAAATATTTCAAAATGAAAACAAATAATTATTTGTTAGCTGAACAATAAGCCTGCTATTCTGTGTGCTAGATATTGTTAGAAATACCAACCAGGACCTCGAAATATTTGCAATTTGGCAAGAGATATTTATCAAAGTGTTATTTCTACAACAACAAAATGGAAGATAGCCTAGGTTTACAGCAATTAGTAAATAACCAAATTTATTTTATTACAATCATATGAGACAATATTATACCAAAATAGTTTCTATAACAAAGAAAAACTTATATTCTATATTAATTATAAAAAGGTACAGCTAAGATCAGTGGTACATGCTAATAATCCTATTACTTCAAATGGCAGAGGCAGGAGAATCAGAGTTCATGGTCAGCCCGGACTTTATGTGTATCTGAGACAAGCCTTGGCTACATGAGACTATGTCTCAAAAATATCAAAAAAGTCAAAAATTTTTTCAATCAAGAAAAAAACATTTTAAAAGCAAGATACCAAAGGAGAAAACTAATAGAAAACATCAATAACATTAACAGTAGGCTAATGGATAGCTCCATGGGTAAAGTGCTTGCCATGCAAGCTTAGCCACCTGAGTTTAATATCAGAACCCATGTAAAAGTAAAGACAACTCATTCTCCAAGTCATTTTCTGTCCTTCACACATGCACCATGGCACACACAAACCTGAACTCACACATACACATCATACACACATATATGCTCATATAGTATTATTAAAAGAAATATTAATAGGCTGATGGGTTGGCTTAGCAGGTAGAGGTGCTTGCCACCAGTCCTGATGACCTAAGTTCAATTCCCAGAACCCACATGGTAGAATAAGGAATTCTATGAGCATGCCTCACCAGTGTACACAAAATAAATGTTCTTTCAAAAATTAAAGTATGTTTTACTTTTGTCATCAGAAACACATATAGAAAAGCAAGAAATTAATAATTTCTAAAAATTCTTTTGAGACTGTAATCAGAGACAGCTTTTGTTTTCCAGCCACCCAGACCCAAATAATCACACAGAAACTATATTAATTACAACAAAGTTTGGTCAATGGTTCAGGCATATTCCTAGCTAGCTTTTACATCTTAAATTGACCCATTTCTGTTAATCTATGTGTTGCCTTTAGGCTGTGGCTTACCAGTAAGGTTCCAACATCTTTCTCCTTCAGCAGCTACATGGCGTCTGCCTGACACTGCCTTCTTTCTCCCTGCATTCAGTTTAGTTTTCCTGCCTAGCTCTATTCTGCCCTGCCATAGGCCTAAGCAGCTTCTTTATTAACCAGTGGTAATAAGACATATTCATAGCATACAGAGGGGAATCCCACATCATGAGACAGAATCTCACAATATAATTCAGGACAGCCTCAGATTTCCAGCCCTTCTGTCTCAGATATGCACATGCCCCCACACTTGGCAATTTTCTTAAAGCATGATTTTACTTATATTTAAAACTAAAAAATCAACCTCTCAAAGTAGAGCCTAGTGATGATGACTAGGATAAATGGAAGGGGAAGAATTTAAATGATCAAGGGGTTCAAAGATTTAGGTAGACATGAGGAATAACTTTGCAGATCTGTTACTATGGAGAATCACTACAATCTATGAAAACACAGTGTATATTTTTAAAAAAAAACATGAAAACTTTTCCTTTGCATTACCAACTAATAGCATTTGTTTAAAAGTTAAATATAGTATCTTTTTAGGACATTTGCCTCTCTATGGAAACTCAGCTATGAGTCAGTGCCTAATAATTCATATATTATCTTGTAGCCATACAACTTTTAACATGTACTCATTTGTTTCTCAATTTTTTGATAGGGTCTGACTATGTCAGTGTTTAGCATTTTTGTTGTTTTTTGTTTTTATTTTTGAGACAGTTTCTCTGTGTAACAATCCTGACTTTCTGGAACTCACTCTGTAGACCAGACTGGCCTCGAACTCACAGAGATCTGCCTGCCTCTGCTTCTCAAGTACTGGAACTAAAGGCATGTGCCACCACTTCTTGGCTGTTTAGCATTTCTTATGTGCTAGTATCTTAGTTGGAGCTTCCCTGCTGAAATAATGATTCCCTATAAATCCATAGACTATGTTCAAATTACTCTTTTAAAGCACACTACTTGACTGGATAGTGATGTGAACTCAATTTTAATTTTCCCTTGGGCAGTATGTGAGACAAAGTAAAATTCATAAGCTCCTAGGAATAAATAATGTTATTTTATTTTCTGTTCCATTAAATATAATCAAAGGCAACATCATGTAACATTGATAAGATACTAAGAAGAAAATATATGTATCATTCTTGATTTTTCTTTTCTTTTGGTTCTGGGGTTTGAACCCTGGGCATTACACATACTAAATATGTGTTCTGCCACTGACGTTGCCCTTTCTTCCATTGCTTCTTACAGGCAGCCCTGGAAGCACTAGATGAATTAGACTTGTTTGGTGTGAAAGGTGGGCCACAATCAGTTATCCATGTTCTGGCTGATGAAGTACAACACTGCCAGGTAAGGAAATAATGGACCATGGAATCACAAATTTTATTCTTGCCCAGATTCAGACTTAGCACAGGCTTTAGCTTAAAGAGAGCAGTTCATCACATTATTATTACCATGTGATCAGAAACATCTTTATCAACCATTCTATACTAAGATAAACCTGATACTAGCATGAGCTATAAGATAGATAATGTTTGTCTTAGTCAATGTGCTGTTCCTGTGAAGAAACACCATGAGTGCAACAGCTCATAAAAAAGCATTTAATTGGGGCTTGCTTAAAGTTTCAAAAGCTTTAGTCTATTATTAACATGGTGGGAAGCATGGCATCATGCAGGCAGACATGGTGCTGGAAAAGTAGCTGAGAGTTCTTTATCTGGATCTGTAGGCAAGAGGGAGAGAGAGATACAGGGACTGATTTGGGCTTCTGAAACCCCAAAATCTACCTCTAATGACACACTTCCTTCAATGGGGCCATACCTCTTAATTCTTTGTAGTAGTACTACTCCCTGCTGACCAAGCATTCAAATATATAAGCCTGTGGGAGCCATTCCTAGTCAAACCACCACATTCCACTCCCTGACTACCATAGGCTTGTAGCCATAAGATAATTCAACATTGTGTTCAGTCCATCTTTGAACGTCTCCATAGTCTATAATAGTCACAACACTGTTTAAAAGGCATAAGTCCAAAAACCCTTCTGAGACTCCTGGCAATCTCTTAATTGTAAAAGCAAAATAAAAAAAAAAAAAACCAGATCGCATGCTTCCAACATACAGTGACACAGAATATACATTATATTCCAAAAGGGAGAAAGGGAATGCAGTGAGGAAATACTGGATTAAAGCAAGACCAAAAACAAGCTGGGCAAACTCCAAACTACATCTCCATGTCTGATGTCAAAATGTTCTTCTGATCTCCAACTCCTTCCAGCTTTGTTGACTGTAACACACTTCTCTCTCTTGGACTGGCTTCACTCACTGTTAGCAATTCTCTTTGGCAGGTTTCCCATAGCTCTGCCATCTCCAACATTTTGGGATCTCCAACACAATCAAGGCTTCACCTTCCCCACTTCATGCAGTGGCCTCTCTGGGCCTCCATTCAGGGACACCCCTAAACATGTCTGGCCTCCGTGGCTTTCTTTGCAGTGAAGAGAAATTCCACAACCCCTTTCTTGTATCCCTGGCTCTTAAGCCAGAATCATATAACTGAAGCTGCCAAGTTCTGCTGCTTGCTGGGGCTGGGACATCTGGTTCAATTTTATCTGCATGAGCTTTCTGTTTTCTGTGGTTTTCTTCACTGCTTAAAAATTTTCTTTAATTCCTTTTCACAAGTTGGAAACTTAGCTGGGTGGGATCTTGCCATGAGGTCACCACTCTCTTTATTCTATTTAGCATCGGGCTTTTCTTTTAGTTTTTTATCTCCCTTAACACTGAACTTAGTGCCATTACACTTCCTGGTGCCCCCCCTTTTCCCCAAACTGTACATTATGTATTTTTCTTTGCTCAGCTTGCTGATTTTCATTATAGACATGCATAAGAGTGAACACTAATAACCATGAAACAGAATCTATACTAGGCTGTTTTGAAATCTCCTCTGCCAATGCCATTAAACCAGAATTCTTCAATTTATCATCAGGCAAACTTTTGACAAGGGCATAAAGCAGTCACATTCTTTGCCAAAAATATCACAAGAACAGTCTCTAGGCCACTTGCTAATATTTCTCTCCTCTGAAACCTCTTGAGCCAGGCTGTCATAATCTACATTGCTCTCAGCACCAATATCTTCCACATTCCTAATGGTATTGTCCATTAAACCCATTTTAAAGCATTCAGCTGCTTTACTAATCTAAAGTCCCAAAGCCCACACATTCCACCAACAATATGATCAGGCCTGTCACAGTAATACTTCAGTCCCTGGTACCAACTTCTGTCTTAATCTGTGTTCTATTGCTGTGAAGAGACAGCATGACCACAGCAACTCTTATAAATGAAAGCATTTAATTGGGGTGGCTGACTTACAGTTTCAGAGGTTTGGTCCATTATCAGCATTGCAGGAAGCATGGGAACACACAGGCAGACATGGTGCTGGAGGAGCTGAGTGTTCTACATCTGGATCCACATGCAGCAGGAAGAAAAAGACACTGCGACTGGCTTGGACATCTGAAACTTCAAACCACCACAGCGGTCTTCTTGTCTCAGTTATAATTATAAAATGAACCCACCATAGTATAACCAGCTATCTATTGCTATTATATCAAGGGCCTGTGGTTTCATTTTCCAAGAATCATTTTTTGTAAGCATAAAAAGGAAACAAGATATGACCTAAGTGTTCAGAAGGGTGGATCCGAAACATTGTCCCTTGTTTTCTGCTTAGATTTTTGGACATTAGACTATTAGTCTGGTAAAAGTTCACCCTTAGTTTTGTTTATGATTGTCACCTGTATCAAAAGTTTCTTTTCTCTGGTATGTGAAATTTCTCCTTTTCTTCAGCCCTGATTGTATCCTATAAGGTATGCTAGTGAACATAATTTCAGCTTCTAATTTCGAAAACATTTTCTGTGGATAAAATATGTCATGGAAGAAGAAAAGGATCATTTGTAGATAGGAAAAAGATTAGCAGGAGTAAAATGGGGGTATGGAAATATGGGTGAAAAAATAGCTAAGTGCAATGATATATGTGTCTAAAATATAAAGAAACCCATTATTTTTCACACTTGCTGAAAATTAATTTGAAAATATCTTAGAGGCATAATTGATCCTTCCCCTACTCTTCCCAGAAGCTGTAGTTTGTCTTAGTTTTATTATTTAAAATTTATTTATTATTTTGTGTGTATGGGGGTTTGGTCTGGGTATATATTTGCACCATATTCATGCCTTGTGCCCATGCAGGGTCGAAAAGGGTGTTGAAGTTATGGATGGTTGTGAGCTGCCCAGTCCTCTGGAAGAACAACCAGTGTTCTTAACCACTGATTCATCTTTCTAACCTCAGCTTTATTTTTATCTAGAGCCTAAGAAACCAACAGGGTTGTGTGTGTCCCACAGATGCTTTCCAATCACAATGGGGAAGCATTGAGAGCAGGACAAAGAAAAGGGATTCAATACCAAGCAAGCTACTTTTAGGATCTCACTTTTTAATAAAATTTGGGTTTTATTCTGAAAGCTTTTGTTCCACATAAATCTTTTTGAACCAAAGCTCCTGGTCTCACCTCTTAACAAAAGTATCTAATAATAAACTATATTTTGCTACCTTTCTCTTAGTCAATCCTAAATTCACTGCTGCCCCGGGCTTCAACATCCAAAGAAGTTGATGCCAGTCTGCTGTCAGTGATCTCTTTCCCAGCCTTTGCTGTAGAGGACAGCCATTTGGTAGAGCTCACCAAACAGGAGATCATCACCAAGCTTCAGGTATGTACACATGTGCCTTTCTTCTCTTTAGAGCTGGGAGTTTAAAGGAAGATTAGTGCTTTTAGGCCTTTGAGTATAACATATGCCAGGAATTTCAAGAAACCTTTAAGTTACGCTCTTGTCAGTAGTTTCTCTACAAAGCTTTCAAAAGCAGTCATTACTGTTGGGAATGGGACATACACTTTGGAGAACAGTTGGCATACTCTTATATATAACTTTAGTATATATGCACATATGTAATGTGTGATCCCACAAACATCCTTACTGGTGTGGGAGAATTGTCTGTATTCTGTCAATCATGTTTTAAATAAACGCTTATTGGCCAGGCAGGAAATATAGGCGGGAAAACCAGACAGGAAGTAGAAATAATGTAATGAGAACAGGAGAATTCTGGGAAGGAGGAAGTTGATTCCTCCCACTCCTGCCCAGACCACTGAAGCAGCAGGATGTGATCTGCCCCACTGAAAAAAGGTACTGAGCCACATGGCTAACATAGATCAGAAAAATGGGTTAATCAAGATGTGAGAGTTAGCCAGTGAGAGGCTAGAGCTAATGGGCCAATCAGCTTATAATTAATGGAGACCAATGTGTGATTTTCTTTGGGGATAAACAGTTGTCGGGTACTGGGCAGGACAGAAAACACAAACCACAAGCCAGGCCCCCTTCATGTTACACCTTACTCCTCAGTATCTCCCCTAAAATTGATAGTGTACACTCACACGAAAACTCACAAATGTCTGTAGCAGCTTCAGCCATAATTGCAAGAACCTGGAAACCACCTTCAACTGAGAAACAAATTATACTCTATCCCTATTGAATACTACTCAATAGTAAAAAGAACAAGTTAATAATCTCTGAGATAGTATGATTCTTTTTTTCACACTAAATCCTGACCACAGCCTTCCCTATCTACCTACTCTACCTCCCCTCTCCCCAGACTCATTACCCCCCAAAGTGGATCAGGAATCCTTGATAAGTGGTTGATTTGAGGATCACATTAGGGAAGATATAAAAGATCTGAAGCATCTTAAGGCTTCAGAAAGTAAAGAACTCAAAAAGGGTTGGGAATGGCTGGTCATGGTGGTATGCACCTTGAATCCAGTTCCTGGGAGGCAGAAGCTGGTAATCCTCTGTGAGTTCACCAGTCTGGTCTACAGAGTGAGTTCCTGGACAGCCAAGGTTTACATAGAGAGACTCTGTCTCATACCCCCCCCCCCCAAAAGAAGATTGTTAATGTCAAATTTCTTCTTGCAGTAGATGGTAATTAACACAGAAACCCACAAGTGGACAATGTGCAAAGAGTAAGAAGCCTTTGGAACACTCAGCCCTAAATGGGTTGTCTTCATCCAAAACCCTGGCCTCAAGGCTCAGGAATCTATGTGGAAGAGGAGTCATAAAGAGTTTAGGAGACAGAGCTGGTGAATGACTCAAAGGAAACAAACAGTGCCATCCAGACATGATAGGACTGATACCATGTTAACTCAGAGACTGTGACAGTACTCACAAGATCTACTCGGGTTCAAACCAGACAAAATCTTAGTATAGAGAAGGGGAAATGAACACAAAATCCCATCCTTAACCAAGAAGTTATTTGCAATTGATGTCTGCCAGGAAGAGAAAATCAGTTTTCTCTAATGGAGTGTCAGTGAGTGTTACCAATCACACTCCAGGGTAGGTTCCATGTCTAAGACAACACAGATTGGATGCTATGTTCTTTATTTTGGTACTTTTGTTTGTTTGCTTGTTTGTTTGTTTTTTGGTGTTTTGAGACAGGGTTTCACTGTAGTTTTAGAGCCTGGCCTGGAACCAGCTCTTGTAGACCAGGCTGGCCTTGAACTCCCAGAGATCCTCCTGCCTCTGCCTCCTGAGAGCTGGAATTAAAGGCATGCGCCACCACCGCCTGGCCTATTTTGGTACTTTTAATCTTCCTGCTTTTCTTTTTGTTTGTTTTTCTTTCTTAGAGAAACAGAGAACATGAAAGTTGGGTGGGTAGTGAGGAGATGGGAAGGATCTGGGAGGAGCTGGGGGACAGGAAAGAAAATGATCCAAATACTGAGTATTGGGTCCTTATGATTACTCAGGAAATACTTTACCCACTGGGCCATCACCTGAGTCCTGTGATGTGGGATTTTGAACTGGATCCTGGAATAGAATAAAAAAGGACAGTGATTGAAAACTCAGTGAAATCTAAATAGGTTTTATAATTCAATTAATATTAGCATATCAAAGTTAAGTTTTAGTTCTAATGTATGTTCCTGTAGTTACATTAGTTAATATAAGGAGATGAGATTTGATGGGCATAGTGAGAGTATGTAGTGTTTGTAACTTTTATAAGTCTAAGATAATTTCAAAAAATTGAAAATATATTTAAAAAATAAACTATGGTCTCTTGGGAGCTGTATGTACTGTGGGAAGAACTGCACAGATTGGTAATTAGCTTGTTGTAGGCTTGGCCTAAGGTGGACAGTCGTGGAGAAGATACTGCTAAGCATGCTGTTTTGGGGAAGAACCTGTAACATACTTCTTGCTTGAAAGGACATTGCTGCTGTTGCTGTTGCTGCTGCTGAGCTGATTTTGAGTTCTGTGTCTGTGGTGGTGAGAGATTGGTACATGGAGATGTTTGAGGATGTGCTTCTGCTTGTGGAGTCATACAGATATACAAACTTCAGGGCCTTTTTCTCTGTGTCCCCAGGGTCGTTATGGTTGCTGTCGTTTTCTACGAGATGGATATAAAACTCCTAAAGAGGTAGGTTTCTGGGGCTGGAGAGCTGGCTCGGCTTTTAAGAGCACTAGCTGCCATTACAGAGGTCAAAAGTTCAATTCCTAGTACCTGCATGGTGGTTCACAACCATCTACAATGAGATCTGGTGCCCTCTTCTGGTGGCAAGTGTACATGCAGGAAGAACTCTATACATAATAAATAAGCCTTAAAAAAAAGGTAGGTTTCCTTTCACCACAGGGAAATTGGGCAGAATTGTCCCTTTTCTTTGTAGCCTCATTCAGAGATAAGTTACCTTGCTGATAGAATTTTTGCAGATCATTAAAGGGAATAATAAGTGATGTTTGTTGTATTTATTGGACTTTGCTGCCAAGTTTTGACATCGGTAGTAAATAAATTAATAATAATAATATGTTCAAAAGTAAATAAAATAAAGGCTGTTTTTCCTTTCTTTTAGTTGATTAGTTTAAGGAAAGAACTACCGATAGATGCTAAAATCTATGGACAGTTTTAAATACAAATAACATTTACATAATATCCAAATATGCCCCCAAAATATTTAATCAATCCAAAGGAAAGGCACTTTCCATCAGTACATCTTTTTGTCTGCCTGTCGTAGTCCCTTTTCTGTTGTCTGGGACACAGTACCGCAGACTGAGTTGTAAAATGGGTACACTTGGGCTCACAGTTCTGTAGGCTCAGAATCAAGAGGTCCACATCTGCTGACAAGAATCCCAAGGTGTGATCCAGGGAGTACTGGTGTGCCCCAATCCCTTCTGGTCTCTTTCCTTTTGACAAAGCCAGAGGCTCAGTCTCCACCCTAATGGCCTTACTGAATCCTGATCTGTCCTGCAGCCTCCACCTCTAAGTTCTGTAGTTTATTCCATTTCTCCCCACTAGTACTTCACAATATGGATAAAATATCAGCCCATCAAGCCTTAAGGACACCAAACCTAAACTGTTCCAAGATTAGTAGTTTGTATTTGGTTAGTTATAAACAGAACTTGTTTGTGAAAATATAAGTTCCTTTAGTTTTACTAGTCAAAAGTTCTCCTTGAAAAAAAAAGTATGGCTTGGGCCAGCTTTTCAAGAACTATTATGAGTGCTTGTGTAGCATGCTCAATGCCCTGCGTTCCAGTCCCAGCACCACACAGAAGAGAGGAACTATGTTCTTTTTAAATTAAGTGTGAAATCTTGTCTACTTCCGCACTTCTACTTTCTTCTTCAGCCCGGAGTTTGACTTTTGCCCTTTTCTTGAAGTTTTTTCCATTTGGATTTCCACAGTACTGCACTCTCATGGTTCTTGGCTCTCTGTCTTTGGATCCCCTCATTCTGAAGACTTGCCAGGATTCCCTTCTTGTACAGGCCATTCATTCTTTCCCACAAAGGCCATCTGTGCCTAGTGTTGCCTCTCTCAGGTTGATTACAAAGCAGTCCTACACTGATGGTTAGTTAATATTGTCAGCTTGACGGGATCAAGGAGACGAGCCTTTGGTTATACCTGTGAGGGTATTAGTAGGTTAATTAAAGTAGGAAGATCTACCCTAAAAGCGAGTGGCAATATTTCCTGGGTTGAAGGCCTGGGCTGCATGGAAAGGAAAAGCTAGCTGCATTCCAGCATTTATTGTACTCTTCCTGACTGTAGAAGCAGTTGTGATCAGCTGCCGAAGCTTCTGCCACCTTCTCTGTCCTTCATGATGAATTGTACCCTTGAACTGTGAGCCAAAGTAAACTCTTGCTTCACTTGAGTTGATTTTGTCAGATTAGTTTATCATGGAACAAGAAAAGTAACACACATTTTCGTATATCTCTTGTGATTCCTTATTATTTCAAGACTAGTCATTGGACGTTTTCATAGAGCACTTGCTTCCCTGATGCCATCTTTGAAACAGATGGTCTAGTAAAACTCCTACTACAATACCTCTAAACTAAGGATATAAATCCAATCTCTGAGCGACAGGACAGACTTTATTCTATTTTTGTCTAGGATCCAAATCGTCTATACTATGAACCAGCTGAGCTGAAGTTATTTGAAAACATTGAGTGCGAATGGCCATTGTTCTGGACATACTTTATCCTTGATGGAGTCTTCAGTGGGAACGCAGAACAGGTAATGAGCTGGGAGAAGAGCTCTGAGCAAGCTGCTCTTGTTGTATCTTCTTCTTTCAGTTAATGGCTCTATCTGTATTGACTCCCCCAAATTGGAGTCTTCTGACTACCACATAGAGTTGTCTGTCTCCTAGAGACTT